TTGCCTTAATCTCCGAGCCTCAGCATGTACTTTGGGAGGAAATGGGAGAGTATATCTAAAGAATACAAGAAGAAAAGCAGATTAAAATAAAAGTCAGGGTCTTAAAACGGCAACGTCTTCAGACTGATCGCTATCATGGGCTTAAACACTGTCAAAAGAACAGTCTGCCCCGTTTGTGATAAGCCCCTCCAGCGCTCCTTAAAACAGATTAGGAAAAAAAAATAAAAATAGCCTTGGCAAGTGCATACTCCTGTACATGTACAGAAGAGATAAATCTTAATACAGGGTACCGAGTGAATTTCAGTTGTTATGGCTCAGGGCTAGGAGTACGAACAAAGGGGTAATTGAAAAAGTGACTTTCATCACACAAAAGCCTTGTTTAACATTCCGGAGCACTCAGATAAATCAACCGAGTTAAAAGCCTAACAACAATTTTAATCAGTTGATCTCCCCCATTTAAAATGTACTATTTTCCATGCCTGTAAATACCTACTGGCAGGGTCGCCCGTGGCCAATTAACTTTGAAGTGCACGAGACACATACTCTTCGGTCACTCTGAGATTGATGCCATCGCCCCCCCGCCCCCCCGCATCCATACTACTGATGTGCAACACATTTCCAACATAGGTATGCGTTGGCTTACTTAACATTCTGGACTTCTGATTTGCACAGCTCCAAATTAGAGGCATGAAATAGGTCACTCGGGACACCAAATAGCTAGTAAGATTTAAAAAACAAAGTAGATTGTACTTGCCGCATTATTAAAAACTGCCGCATTATTAAAAACAATGCAAAATTACTACAAGTAAATGCATTTTGATGCAAAGTTGTTAGGAGCTATTCCGACCTTGACTTAAAACTTGAGTACACCTAAAATCCATCAAGAAATTCTACACTGGTTTCTTGGAAACAAACTACAATTTACCTTAGGAATATGAGAGCTGATCTCCCAATGTATAACTTAGCTTTCAAAATCAAGTGCTTCTGAAGACACCTTTCCCCTCCTGTGCCATTTCTTTAATAGAAAGAAAATCGGGGGCTATTGCTCAGTGGAACAGCCTCTACTTTGCATGCAGAAGGTCCCAGGTTCAATCCTTGAGCCAGTTTGGTGTAGTGGTTATTCCTTGAGCCAGTTTGGTGTAATGGTTATTCCTTGAGCCAGTTTGGTGTAGTGGTTAAGTGCATGGACTCTAATCTGGGAGAACCGGGTTTGATTCCCCACTCCTCCACTTGCACCTGGCTGGATGAACTTGGGCAAGCCGTAGTTCTCATAAGAGCTGTTCTTGAAAAAAGAGCAGTTTCTGCCAAGAGCTCTCTCAGCCCCGCCTACCTCACAGGGCGTCTGTTGTGGGGAGGGGAAGGGAAAGGAGTTTGTAAGCCTCTCTGAGACACCTTTGGGCTGTGAAGTATAAATCCAATCTCTTCTCTTCTTCTCTTCTATGTTAGGGATTATCAGGAAAGGGACTGAGAATAAAATGGCTGATATTGTAATGCCCCTGTATAGATCTGTGGTGCGGCCTCATTTGGAATACTGTGTACAGTTCTGGCCACCGTATCTCAAAAAGGACATGGCAGCGCTGGAAAAAGTAAAGAGGAGGGCAACCAAGATGATTGGGGGTTGGAGCCCCTCCTTTAGGAGGAAAGGCAGGGGCTTTTCAGTTCGGATGCATGGGGTGGAGAAAGCTGCCCAAGAGAAATTTTTCTCCCTCTCCCAAAAGACTGGAACTCGAGGGCCTCCAATGAAGCTGACGGGCAGTGGGATCAGGACGGACAAAAGGAAATACTGCTTCGCACAGAGAGGGATTAAAATGTGGAATTCGCTGCCAGAGGATGTAGTGATGGCCACAGGAATAAACAGCTCGAAAAGGGGGTTAGATAGATCCATGGAGGATAAATCTATCAATGGCTACTAGTCGTGGTGACTGAGGGGAACCTCCACACTCAGAAGCACTCATCCTCTGAATCCCCAAGCCAGGAGGCAACATCAGGGGAAGGCCTTGGCCCCTCTATGCCCTGTTGTTGGCCCTCCAGAGGGACCGGTTGGCCACTGTGTGAGACCGGATGCTGGACTAGATGGACCACTGGTTTGATCCAGCAGGGCTATTCTTATGTTCTTAAGGATCAGGAGGTGATGTGAAAGACTTCCACCTGAGACTGTTCCACAAATATAGCTCGTATGTTCCCAAGCCCAAAAAGAACACACGAGCGAGGTCTCAGTGAGGAGAAAGTTCTTTAGGTATTTTATTGCAAGAAATACCGGAAAACAGTTAGGCCAAAATTGCCTGCCAAAAATTGACTGCTTTCTGAACAATATAAGGAAGTACATGAATTTTTATACCCAAAATGACAAAGGCAAAAGATAACATGCAAAAATCATAATTGGTTACAAATGGCAGAGCATCATTTGAGTAGGCATACATTTCCTGGTCAGTTACAGCAAAAGGTGTGATTACATGGTATCTTAAATGTTTATTTAGCCTAACCTTATTCAATTTTACCCAAGGATTCTCTATACCCAAGCAAAAAGTGTTGTTTTCAGATAAGAAACAAAAGCCTTTGTTGATGCAGATACTGCAAAGTTTTACCCTAAACACTAAAACCATGAACTCTATAATCTGAGTAAAAAGTCAAGCAAATACCTCTATTAAAATGCCCATCCTCCACTATCCCATCAATGCTACACTTAAGACCTATTAGAACTGCCAGAGAGCTAACACAGCTATTCCATCCAAGCAACTTGATAAAAGAATGTTTACTTCTTGCCTGCTAGCAACAGCTAAGAAGAAGAAGAAGAAGAGAAGAGACTGGATTTATACCCCGCCCTTCACAACCCAAAGGAGTCTCAGAGCGGCTTACAATCCCTTCCCCTCCCCTCCCCTCCCCTCATGAGGAGTCCTTGAAAGACCTCTCTCAGCCCCCCCTACCTCACAGGGTGTCTCTGTTGTGGGGTAGGTGGGGCTCAGAGAGCTCTTTCGAGAACTGCCCTTGAGAGAACAGCTCTGAGAGAACTTGTGACTGACCCAAGGTCACACCAGCAGCTGCAAGTGGAGGAGTGGGGAAATCAAACCCAGTTCTCCCAGATCAGAGTCCGCACACTTACCTACAAAGAAGAGGCCTTACAACTTAATAGACTCTTATTAAATCCTAATAAAATCTTTATATCAAAATTTATAAAACCAGAAAAATGTAAGTATATGAATAATCTGAATTTAAAAACATTATATATTCCCATCCATGCTACAAGACCCTGGAAAGTCACTGGCAAACTGAATACACACCGACCATGGTGGGTCGATGGCCTGCTGTGTTTCCCCCAAGTTCCCATTAAGGAACAGGGCAGACTCCACGTCTAGTACTAGATACAATCTATTCATGTCATTTTAGAAATATAATCAACATTTTTCTTTCACGACTCACCAGGTTATATATTCGGGGTGGGACTGTGTGTGGGGTGAGCTACAAGTCTGTCCTGGGCCAAAAGAAACGACGTCTGGATTATGCTACTAGACACAGGACCCAAGGGGAAAAAGACACTCTTCCATTCATAGCTGTCTTTTTTCCCTTTCAGGGATAATAGCAGTTCATGGTGTGCATGCATGCTCATGAATACCATCTGCCAAGAAAAAGGCACGGGGGGAGGGTTAAATACTACCCCCAGTTTGGTGCAGTGGTTAAGTGTGCGGACTCTAATCTGGGAGAACCGGGTTTGATTCCACACTCCTCCACTTGCACCTGCTGATGTGACCTTGGGTCAGTCACAAGCTCTGGCACAGCTGTCCTTGAAAAAGAGCAATTTGTGTCAGAGTTCTCTCAGCCCCACCCACCTCACAAGGTGTCTGTGGTGGGGAGGGGAAGGGAAAGGAGTTTGTAAGCCGCTCTGAGACTCCAAGTGAAGGGCAGGATATAAATCCAATTTCCTCCTCCTCCTCCTCCCACCTTAGCACTGAAACCTCAATCCAAATTGCTCTTCCCTGTGTCTGATTTTCCATAGTTGAACTACACATTGAGATTTCCGATCACAGATCACAGTTTGGTGTAGTGGTTAGGAGCATGAACTCTAATTCGGGAGAACCAGGTTTGATGCCCCACTCCTTCACATGCAGTTGCTGGTGTGACCCAAGTTCTCTCAGAGCTGTTCTCTCATGAGTAGTCCTTGAAAGAGCTCTCTCAGCCCCACCTACCTCACAGGGTGTTGTGGGGAGGGGAAGGGAAAGGATATTGTAAGCTGCCCTGAGACTCCTACGGGTACTGAAGGGCAGGGTATAAATCCAACTCTTCTTCTTCTCTTATAACGATACAACGAAGAAGAAGAAAGAAGAAGAAGAAAGAAGAAGAAGAAGTTGTTCTTCTCCTCTTCCTCCCAGCACAAAAAGGATGCCAGTCAGGTGGATTATAGCTGGAGCTATACTGCCTTGCCTATCTGGAACCTAAACAGTGCTGCTTGTGGTTGCCTCTGCCTTTTCCATTCTTGATCCTCACCAGCCAGGTTGCCGGTTCCCTGCCGGTTTGTCATCCAAATGCCGGCTTGATTCCCACCCCCGCTCACCCCACCAATCAGCAAGAAGCATGAAGGCGTTTAACCACTCCTGGTTGCCTGACTAAGCAAAAGGCTGAATTCCAAGGACTGCCATTATCCTCGAGGGATGCGCCGTATAAAACCGAGAAAGGTTATAGAGCTTCCAGAAGAGAGTTAAAATGGGAATTCATAGTTCCATTTTGTGGTTTGAGTTAGCCAGACTGTACTGTACTGTTCCAGAACGAAACTGGCCTTGTTGTGCTGTTTATAGGGAGGAAAAGCAGGAATCCTGCCCAGATTAAAACACAAACACGGACCCAAGTTGTCCGATAGCTGCTTCGTCTAATCGAGGATCGCATTTTAATTTCCTTTCGGGGACCACCCTGAGAAAGATGCGGAACAGAGTACAAAAGAATACTCATTTGCAACGAATGGGGGAAATAAGACAGGGCTCTGGAGAGTAGAAATAGTTCCGTTCACTCACCGCGGCCTTCGGAAAGCCAATCCGTACTGCTGACAGGCCAAGCCGACTGTAGGTGTGTACACAATAGGCATGAATCTCTCTATATCCGATGTGAGAACGCGGTAGAAGAGCTTCTCATTTCGGTCTTGGAGGGTCATCAGGATGATATACCTGGAAGGGACATAGCAAGGAGAGGGTGGTCAGTAGACAGGGTGGCCAACCCTCTAGGTGAGGTCTGGAGGCCTCCCCAAATTACTATAGAGGTCAGTTCCCCTGGATAAAATGGGTGTTTTGGAGGATGGACTCTATGGCCTTACACCCCACCAAGGTCCTTGCCCTCCTCCAAACGCTGGCCTCCTCAGGCTCTTCTCCCCCCCCAAAAAAAAATCCCCAGGAATTTCCCAATCCAGGGAGGGCAGCCCTATCAGTGGAGCCAAGCATGGGCAATTCAGCCCATTCTTGGCTTGCTTTGAGGTCTACTCATGACATTCAGAGTAATTATCAAGGAGGTTTGCTTTTATACAATACGAGAGATGTTCAGTGAGTTAATTTCCCTGCTTTATTTTGGCTTGATGCGGTTAGAGATGTTTCACTGCTTTTACTGTGATGTAGAGTTTACTAGAGTCCCTCCGTAAGTCCATTCTCTGTGCATGCACTTTTGGGGGGATTTAAGTATCCCTATATAGTTTTTAAAATATGTAAGATTTTTTTGCACACCTGGGGAGCACCCCAAGTGTGCAGAAACATCTCTTTACCCTCCATGTGCCCCCTATCTGCAGAAATAAGTAACTGCACATAGGGGGCATTTTGGGAATTAGATATATAATCAAGGAGCACGATCTGTGTACATGCTACAGTTTTATGGGGGGGGGGAGCCACAACTCAGCTGTCCAAGAATGTGAGCTTTCATGTTTTATTTTTAAAACAAGCTAGGTTTCTAGCCCTTATGGGTGCAAAATTATACCTGAAGGCATGTGAGCAAAATTTGCTTAAATATTAAGAGGCTAGAGAAATGGCTGCTCAAGATTCCCATTGGTCAAAATCAGGTCTTCAGCTTCTTACCCTTGACTGGGGAAAGGTGAATACAATTACACTTGGTAGTAACAATGGCAGTAACAATTGCCCACCTCTTGGCGACATGCGAGTCCCTATCCATAAAAAAGGTGATCCAACAGAACCAAATAATTATTGGCCCATAAGTTTGTTCTCAGTGTTGGGCAAATTGATTGAGGATGAAGCCATACTGACTTGAGAGCAAGCTGGATTCCGTACAGGAGTTAGTGCAGTTGACCTTTGCCATACTCTTCAATTTTTTGTAAACAAGTATGCGAGCCCAAAAGATGGCATTTTAGCTGTTGCCTTTATGGATCTCAGCACAGCTTTTGACTCAGTGCCTAGGCAAAGATTATGGGATGAACTAAATAAATAATCTATTGATAGGCGTCTCCTTTTCTGATTAAAAAACTATATGACAGATAAATGATAGATTGAAATTTAATCCTGGTAAGACAAACGCTCTTTCCTGTGGACTTTGCACTTGCACAGAGTCTCTATTATTTTTTTATCTGAATCATTTATTCACCACAATTCTTTCTTACAGCGCTCACGGCAGCTTATAACATAGATAAAATGCATAAAATAGAATATCTTGCCTGGCATGAGGAAACCCCTTCAAACAATCCTGGAACTTGGTTAGCAGCAGCACTCTAATCCAGTGACCTCTTGGATTTGTCTACTGACTGAGTTCCAATTGTTTTGATCTCTGTTTTTCAATTTTTAAATTTAAGTTATGCATATAAACAACTTCTGCTCTTATTCTAAGCCACTTTGGCGGTTCTCTGCCAAAACAACAGGATAAACGTGAACACTGGACATTTGTATTACGTACTGGAATGAAATGATATTTCCTCTTGCTGCTTCCTTTTGTTTTTTGACCTTTCCTTTTGATTTTCTGAATCGTGTTACCCCTAGGATAATTATAATGTATTATCCTGTGTGAGGCAGGATGCTGGCCTAAATGGACCACTGGTTTGATCCAGCAGGGCTCTTCTGATGTTCTTAAGTTCAGTTACCGTGTGGTGTTTGATGGCTCTCCAGGGCAACCAGTTGACTGCTCTGTGAAACTGGATGCTGGACCAGACGATTGGTCTGATCCGGCAGGGTCCTTCTTATGTCCATCCCCAAGCCATAGCTGTTCCCAGATCAAGCTGGCTTTGAACTATGCACATTTCATGACAACATGCTGGGGCTAGGTGTTTTGTAGCATGTGTGCTTGCAACAACAACAAAAAGCCCTTTCAGAAGTGGAGGCCGATGGAACTTCTTCCTTTTACCCACAGTATGTGATGTGAAGTCAGTAGGGTTCTCTGCTCCAGGCTGGAAACTTCTGGGATGGGTGGGGTTTGGGGTATAACGCCATAGAGTCCACTCTCCAAAGCAGCTGCTTTCTCCAGGGGAACTGATCTCTGTTGATTGATCAAGATGGGTAGCCATGTTAGTCTGTCTGTAGCAGCAGAAAAGAGCAAGAGTCCAGTAGCACCTTAAAGACTAACAAAATATCTGGCAGGGTAGGAGCTTTCGTGAGTCACGGCTCACTTCTTCAGCTAGCTGCCTGCCACATATTTTGTTAGTCTTTAAGGCTGTGGAAGGTCGGTAGTTCAGCAGTTTGAGACCCGAGTGTGCCGCATGACGGAGTGAGCTCCCGTCTCTAGTTCCAGCTCCTGCCAACCTAGCAGTTCGAAAGCAAGAAACTGCAAGTAGATGAATAGGTACCACTTCGGTGGGAAGGTAACAGCGTTCCGTGCGCCTTGGTGTTTAGTCATGCCGGCCACATGACCACGGATACGTCTTCGGACAGTGCTGGTTCTTCGGCTTGGAAACGGAGATGAGCACCGCAACCCTAGAGTCGGACTCGACTGGCTTTCGAGCAAGGGAACCTTTACCTTTTTAAGGTGCCACTGGACTCTGATCTCTGTTGCTCTGGAGATCAGTTGCTCAATCTGCGAGGCCTCCGTGCCCTACCTGGAGGCTGGCAACTCATACATTGCAAATGTCTCCGCCCCTAGAAGTGTCAGCCAATGAGGATGGCCAGGGAAAAAGAAAACCTTTCTTCGTGCACCCTCCATCGCATTTACTGCTGGTCGCAGACCTTACCGAAAGGTTCTCGGATCACATCATGCTTACTTGTCTAGGTCGCTGGATTTGGTCTCGTAGCTCTTTAGAACACGGAGGACTTGAACCTCTTGGCTCAGGAAGCAAGGAGGAAGCAGCCGTTAATGCCGAGCTGGAGTCTCTCCTCAAGTGTAAAGGCCATGCCCTGCGAAGGAAGAGAGAAGAGGTTGGTTGGAGCCCAGGACAAGCGCTGCAAGAGGCATAATTAGATTTCCGCTTCTGTGAGCCCATCTCTCTTGTCACTCTCCACTGGACAAGATGTTGAAAAGGATCTTGACCTTCATGCTAAATCACAAACTAGATTGCCATGTCTGCCTCAGAACAAGTAAGAAAGAGAGTGGTGTCATGATTAGAGGGATGTGCTAAGACTGCAGAGACTCGGGTTCAGATGTTGGTAGGCTAGGCAAACACTCTCAGTATGACCTACCTTGTGGGGTTGTTGTGAGGATAAAATGGAAGAGGGAAGAACTGTGCATGCTGTTGTGAGTTCCTTGGAGACAGGGGAAAATAAAAAATGTGGGATGTACGCACACGATCCTGGCATGCAGGCAACACAACCGTATAGGGTTAGATTGTTGGGCTCAGATTTGAGAGACCCAGGTCTGAATCGCCACTCTGCCATGGAAGTCTGCGGGGTCACCATGGGCCAGTCACAGCCTAACACACCCCACAAGGTTGTTGTGAAGATAAAATGGGAGAATATTGTAAGTCACTTTGGGTCCCTGTTGGGGAGAACAGTGGGGTACAGACAAAGGTAATCAATAAACCTTGAACTCTGCTATGTGCTGACTCTGCATGACATGAGCTAGGTAGGCATGAGAGAGAGAGGTGTCATGAGCATGGATGAGGATGAGCTGACAGAGCCTGCAGAAACCACAGCTGGCCCCTCTGAAGCAGCAAAGGAGGATAGCTGGCAAGCACCTGTAACAGCAGTCTTCACACCTGGCCTAGATAAGAAAGAAGAACTGCAAGCTGAAAGTCCTCCTGACTCACCCCCACGTGTGATTCGTCTAAGGGAGCGACTGCGGCAAAACTTAGCAACCAGGCGAAGAGAGGACAGGCTACAAGGGAGACGCTCAGCCAGCCCAGAGTTCTAACAGGATCCTGCCCGATCATGCAGCTGGCTAATTGGTAGCAGCATTTAACTCCACTCTCTGGCCAGTATCCTTCATGGAAGCAACAAGTCAGCTTTGTGTTGCTAGCATCCACTCCGGCTCGGCTCTTGCACCTAGACCTTTGGACCCCCTGGCTTTGGACTTGGCTCTGTGTTTCTGGCTCCTGACCCTGGCTTGAATTTTTTGGACCTTGCACTGTCTTCTTGGCTCCTGATCTTGGCCTGTTCTGGATTCCCTTTGACTGGAACCCCAGCCCGTGACAAGAGGGCCTTTTCCACTGTGGCCCCAAGAGTATGCAGTTCCTTCTCCCTGGAGACCTTGGTTGGTCCCCTCACTAATGGCCTTCTGGAGGGCTGGGCCACACTCTCGTTGAGTGAACCATTATCTAGATTAGAGATCCCTGACTTTTTTGAGACTGCAGGCACCTTTGGAGTTCTGACGTGTCATGACAGGCGCAGCCACAGAATGGCTGCCAGGAAATGGATGCCAAAGCAAGCGGAGCCGGCCACGAAATAGCCACTGTAGCTTAATTTCAGTCACACGGTGAAGATCCTTGTGCTGTGGTTATTGCCGGACTGACGTTTTTTGAAATCAGCACTGTCAATCAAGTCTCTAACAGCTAATCAGGAACCTTGCTGGGCAGGAGCCTTGCCCGACTCCACCCACTTTCTGAAAACACTTGACGGCACCAGGGAAGGTGTTGGCAGGTGCCGTGGCAACCAAAGACACCACGGGGGGGGGGGAACTGATCTAGATTCTTGCTCAGTTGTTTGTTTTAATTATGAGGCTGAAGGGGAGCAAAGGTCATTGTGCAACCTCCCCCCTCTTTCCTTCCAGATGTAAAAGGTTTTACTTTTAACATTTAAAGACTTTGTTTTGGAGTCATCACAAGACAGTAAATAAATATAAGAAATCGATGCCTAACTGTGGTTTTCAGTTGCCAGACTGCTGTTATTTCTGGGAGCCTAACACATTTCTTAAATCCCACCCTTCTTCCAAAGAGAACAGAACTGTGCACGAGGCTGGTCCTCTCCCATTTTATTCTGCCCCAAACCCTGTGAGGTTGAACTGGCTGTGTGCGTGTGAGCGGCCCAAGGTCACCCAGCGAGCTTCAGGGTAGAGTGCTAGGATCTGAACCCAGATCCTAGTCTCTGCACTACACAAGCTCACCTGAAGCTCTGTCCCATACGTTTTCGCTCGCCTTCCCACATGAGTAGAGTATGCTTTTGAAAATGTGCATCTCGCTGTCGAAGACATGCATGAACCTGCCTTATGCCGAATCAGACCCTTGGTCCACCAAGGTCAGTAGACCAACCTGCCATCTCCCCCCACCCCCCAGTTACAGTAGACTGTCCCTTTACTACTTTACAGTCACCAAATGGGTACACGGAATGTTCACAATTGCTATCTGACGACTGCTGAATGGTCTTTGCTCTGAGGGTCCAGAGCACCTTTTGGTTGGCTCAGCTTTTTCCCATCACCCTTCAGTGGCTAGGTGAGCATTACTCGATCCTTTGCGGGAGGAAATGCTGCTTTGCTGGCAGAATCGGCTGCACTCAATGTCGCTCTGCGCCAGCCCTGTGTTACGGGGATGACTAAACCGAATGGGATGGGCAACCGCTGTGCCAAAAGCAATACTGTTTTCATTTAAGTTATTGCTTTTGGGAGAATCGAGAAATTAAACATACGTGCTGTTGTTTTTTTTTTATTCCTATTTGAAGGGCTGCCAAAGGGTGGTGTGACTCACGGCTTCCATCCGAATAATGAACAATTCAGCTGTCTCGAGCAGCATGCGGTGACGAATTAGGGTGAACCGGACAAAAATATTTTTATTAAAATATTGGCTTTCGTTTCTGTTCCATGGCAACGCTTGGAGACTGATTTGAAACAGTGGTCTTTGTTTAAAATCTTCCCCCACCCCTCTGTGTGTGTCTGTGTGTTTCCCAGTCTCTGTTTATAATGATTCATCTTTCCAATTTTACTGTATTTTGTTATTTTGCCGTTGATACTGCTGATTGTAAACAACTGAAACGTTACTTTTTGCACCGTTGTTCAGAACAATATGGCTGCTTGGCAACCCACGGCATATTTCTATCCCTTCACTCATCAGTTCGATGAAGTGCCCAGCATGTGCCAGCTCAGAAGTGGCAGCTAATGTGCTACAGCTGGCCTAGGCACTGCCACTTCAGCGAACAGCTGCACTCAAAGAGGCACGTCTGAGCAGGGCAACCACACCTCTGCCTTCACAGCTGTGAGGGAAAGACGTCTTAGAGGCCTCAGCATCACTGTAGAAGCTCCGGACTCTCCTCCTTTCTAACTGCTAGAAAGGCTGCGGGATGGCCCAGGTCAAAATCCATGCACGATTCTGCATTAGTATCAGTCTGCTGCTTCCGGACTATCCTTTGAAAGTGCTTCCTGACTGAGTGCTTCCTGGCCATGTGCAAATGAAGCTCAGTGCAGAGCAACTCAGATTCATGCACTGCTCAAAATCCATGTGGATGACTCTGAGGTGCCCAGCATTAATATCCGTTTGCTGCTTCCGGACTATCTTTCAAAAGTGCTTTCTTGCTGAGTGCTTCCTGGCCCAGTGCAAATGAAGTTCAGTGCAGAGCATCTAAGATTCACGTGCCTCTTCTGAGTGGGCTACCCGTCTCCCTTCAACCTTATTTATTTATAAGATTTTAATATCCTGCCCTTCTGCTTTAAAAACTCTCAGGGCAGATTAGAACAAAAACAATAATGTAAAATAATATGGAATATTTAAAATGATAAAAGCAGCAAAATGAACGCCACTGCAAAAGCATAAAATTTGAGGTCTTAAAAACAGCATCATTGATTTAAAAAAAACTAAGCAGCACTGAAGACAAAAGGCAAGAAGAAAAAACAAATTAAAATTTGCCATAAAACAATCCAATTATTTTTTGAGGGGGAGGTTTATCATGTGAGTTGCAAAAAAAGTCACACTGGCTCCCCTGTTTACCACAATTAAACGTTCACTAGGAATTCTTCTCAACCAATGTTGAGAAGAGGAACCACCAGAGAGCCAACATGGTGTTGGCTAAGAGTGTCGGATTAGGATCTGGAAGATGCAGGTTCGAATCCCCACTCGTGCTACGGATGCCTGCTGGATGACCGTGGGCCAGTCACACCCTCCCAAGCTTTTAACCTACCTCACAGGGCTATTGTGAGGATAAAATGGAGGAGAGAAGAATGATGGAAGCTACTTTGGGTCCCCATTAGAGAGAAAGGCAGGGTATAAGTGAACAAATAAACCAGATCGTGGAACGAGGGTTAAGCGATTGGGAGAGCACCGTGGAACGAGGGTTAAGCTATTGGGAGAGTCCTGTCACACAGAGGCATTTTTGTGACTGGGGTGACAAACTGCCATGGTTTTTCTCATGGCCTCCTCGCTTACTCATTTCCTGTCTGTTGCCTTTCCATGATGTCCTCATCTTTTCTCTGCGCTTTCTCAAATTGGATCAAAGGTGGTCTGAGAAAGCACGGAGCGACGACAATCGGAAAACAAGAAAATGGGGAGACTCGGAGAAAGAATACTGCGGTTCGGCACCCAAATGGCAGGAAAAATCTTGTGGCAAGAAGAAAAAAAATAGTTAGGGTCAAACTACACAAGTTCAGGTTCCTCACGTGCAGCTCCAAAGTTCTGCAAATATCCCCAGGGGGCATTTTGGCCTGGGAAAATGTTGAGGGGGGAAGGCAGGATCAGGCCCCCTGAGCATAATGAGGCTTCTCACAGGCTTCAAAACTGGTGTTCCCAGGGGTCATTTCGTAGAAAAAGAGGTGCAGGGCTCATTAGCATAACTTATTTGCATATGCCACATCCCCTGACATCACCGGAAGTGTGTCAGAAGGCAACACCCACCACTTAGGCTCCACTGGACTGTTTTGGATTGCTAGCTATTGGAGGGGGGGAGGAACATGCAGATCTGCCCTCGCAGAGGAGGGAGAGCTTGTACCTGAATAAAACTTGGTCTTAAAGGTGCCACTGGACTTTTTTGGACCGGGGGGCCAG